CCTCCGCCTCATTGCACTGGTCATTAACAAATGGACCACCACCGCCGACTCCGTTGCCGTCAAAGAGCAATCGCAAGCCCTCCTCTCCTCAATCTCGAACATGGAGCAGCTCCGCATCCTCTTTTGGATTGCCACAGCTCTCCTTCTCCGCGGCGACAAATACGGTTCAGAGGTAATGCTCCATCTCGTAGAGCTCCTTTCGCACGCGGAGCTGGGCGCCACGGCGGCTCGAGGCTTCGCGGTGCTCCTCGGCCACGATGAGTTCTTGAATGCCGAAAACTTTGCGGTCGTACGTTTGCTGTACAAGCAGCGTGTGTTTTCGCAGTGTGTACCGCAAATCATCGATATGTTCAAGAAAGCCGATTCTCGTATTCTCCCCTCCCCCCGGAGCTCCCCTCCCTTACTAACAGATGCAGAAACTAAACCAAACCTCCTCACCGCCCTCTCCAACATTCTTCGCTCCGTGCCGAGCACAATCATCACCGCCTCCCTCCCCTCGCTGCTGCCGCTGCTGCTGCAGAGCATAGAGCTCCACGACGCCGACGTCAAAGCCGCCACCATCTCCACGCTCGAAATCACGATCCTGGAGAATGCAGACGTGGTGAAAGAGCACGTCGCGGGCGTGATCACGCGGTTGCTGAAAGCTGCGTGCGACCGTGGCGAGGAGGGGAATACCCCCGCGGTTAGAAAAAGCGCGTTACGGTGCTTACGTGCTTTCCCTGGGAAGTTGAGGGGAGAGCTGCTGCTACCGTATAAGCGCACCGTCTTGAAGCAGCTGCAACTGGCGTTGGATGATCCGAAGAGAACGGTTAGGAAGGAGGCAGTCGATACGAGGGTGAAGTGGTGGGCGCTCGGGGAGCCGGACGAGTAAACACTGAAACATAGAGTATATACTCGTACATAGACTGGATATAAGACAAGCTGGTTGGTTCATCAAAGTCTGGTATTGTCCTCCAAAATCATGATATATCCCCTTCTTCCCGCCCTAAAACATAAAAGCGTTCTCAAGTATACCAACATTGCATCTGGTTGGTCAACGAGAAGTCCCACTAATAAATCCACACACAAAAAAAGCAAAAAAAAAACTCCTAGAAATACACGGTGCCACAAACAACCAAAAACATTGAGCTAAGCTAAGCCCCCTCGGGCGGAACAAAGTTCTTGACGGGCTTGAGATCCTCCAGTTTCAAGTACTCGCCGTTGAATGCGCGGATGAGCCATAGCCGGAGTCGGTCATAGACCATTCTGTTGGCGTTATCTGCGATCGAGGTGTCAGCTCTCTTTCCTGTCCCCCAAGCACAGCGAAGGAAAAAAAAAAAAAAAAAAAAAAACTTACGGAAATAGATACTGTGATCCGAGTCCGGGAAGACATGGACATCATAATTCTCCACACCAGCCAAATCTAGTTTATCCAAGAGGGTAAGGGAATTCTGGAAGTGAACGTTATCGTCGGCGACGCCGTGCATGAGCAAGAACCTGACATTCTCAGCCAACGCGGTGGTGTTTGTGACAGTGGCGTTTTCGTATCCGCCGGGGTTGTGCATAGGGGTGTGCATATACCGCTCGGTGTAGATGGAGTCATAGAAGCGCCAGTCGGTGACGGGAGCCACTGCCATGCCATACGAGAATGTCTGTCCCCCGTCTTGCTCCAGCGTCTTGAGCGTCATGAAGCCGCCATAGCTCCAGCCCCAAATCCCGATGCGGCTGCTGTCGACGTAGGGCTTTGCGGCCCAGATCTTGGCCGTTGCGATTTGGTCGTGCGCTTCCCAGTAGCCGAGATTGCCGCGGACGGCGCAGCGTGCGGCACGCCCGATGAAGCCTGTGCCCCGTCCGTCGACCGAGACGACTAGGTACTCCAGGCCGGCGGCGAGGTAGGCCTGAAAGTCGATGTTGAAAGCTTTGGACACCGTTTGCGAGCCGGGCCCACCATAGACATGGAAGATAACAGGGTACTTTTTCTTCGGGTCGAAATGGGGTGGCCGACGCTCGACAACGTTCAGGTCGAAGCCGTCGACTTTCACAGTGGAAAAGTGGAAAGTTGGCAGCTCGTGTTTGCTTGCCATGTCTGCGAGCTCATGGTTTTCCTCAAGGAACTGGGAGAAGGAGGAATCGACTGCCGGTGTGCCGATCACCTTTTGCCAGGGGATTCCAGGGCCGTTGTAGCTCAGCAACGCATACCCGCCCCCATTAGAGAAGGAGACGTCATAGCGTCCGTCGACGGAAGTGTTGGTAAGCGACTGCTTGTCGGTGCCGTCGAGCTTGACACTATAGACGTGGCGCTCGACGGACGAACGCTCGGTGCTCACGAAGTATACAATGTTGTTTTTGAGATCGATGCCGGAGGGTGCGTCTACAACTTCCCATTTACCTTGAGTTAAGAGGATGGGCTTCTCGGCGTCCAAAGGGGTGAAATAGGCGAGGTGGTCATATCCCTCGTGGATCACGGTGTCAATGTATCCGGCTTCTTCTCTGCCAGCGTCAGGCGCTGCGGGGATGTATTTGGTGGATTGGGACTGTTGCGAGTTAGATTTGCACCACGACAATGGCGCCTCGTCGACTTACCACTTCAAACCAACCGCCATCGAGCTCAGCAACATTGACCTCTCTGGTGACTTTTCCTGAACGTGTTGTCACATCAATCAAGATCATCCGGAGCAAATCACTCTCCCTGTTCGATTCCCTGATGAGCACCTGCTCCGCGCCTGCCCAAACGACCTCCGTAATCAGTCTGTCATCGTCTGGGAAGTCATCCTTGATATTGACCGAGAAAACCTCCTTCTTATTAAGGTCGAAGAACTGCAAGTCGACCACAGGATTTGGCGCACCAGCCTTGGGATACTTGATCCAGTCGAGTTCCGGATAATTTTCCAGCGCCGGCGGGGGGTACTCTCCACTAGGCCTTGAGACGAAATACTGCAGCGGATACTCGGGCACTTCGGTTTCGTTCGTTCGCAGGAACGCCAAATGCTTTCCGTCCTCGCTCCACCACATTGCCTGGGCACCAGAAAACACCTCTTCCTCGTACACCCAGTCGGGAATGCCGTAGAACAGGCTCGTGCCGCCGTCAGTGGTGACCCCAATCGTGTCCTTGTCATCCGATAGTTCTCGCACTCGGACGTTGTTGCTAATCACGTATGCCACCGCATCGCTGGTGGGCGCCCACACGGCCAACGAAAGTCTTGCATGTGGGTCACCGGGGATCAATGGCTCGGCTTTCTGCGTGTCAACATCAAGAATCCAATATCTCGCCGAAAACGAGTGTCTCCAATGCTTCTCAGCGTCAGCAACTGCCCCCAAAATCTCGAACCGAAGGAAACCCACCGACTGCACATCACTCGCACAAAGCACCTTCTTCAGATCCGTACTCGGCCAATACTTAGTAACCGCGATCTTCAGGCCACCGACCTCGATACTTCTCTCCTTCATGAGCACAGTAATACTGCTCTTATCCTTCACATCGTGCACCTCCAAGTACCCCCGCTGCCCATAAGGCACCAACATAAGCCCATCCTTCTCTCCACCAATCCACTCGATCCCCTTTCGCCTCGCCCTCCACTGGCCGCCTTGTACCTGATCCATCGTAATCGTTTTTCCGGGCTTGATCAAGCTGGTAGCGGCAGGATCATGTGGTGCAGCCTGGTACTTATAGGCTTGATGAGAAAGATAAATCACTAGGGCGATCAGCCACGATCCAATCAGTGTTCCACCGACGATATAGGCAATTTTGCGCATCTCCTTTCGGTTGTCACTGGCGTTAGGATGTTTGCGGTGGCCGGCCTCGAGGTCTTCATCATCATCGTCTGAGATAACGCCATCGTGCTTTTCGTCCGGGTCGTCGTACCGCGGCGGCAGCGCAGATGGATGGTTGATCCGCTCGAGGATCAAGGAAGTCGTGGAGGTGGTATCAATGCTGGAGCGCGTGGAGTCATTAGGTGGGTTGAAGCTGGCAGCGAGATCGTCGTTGTGGTCTTGGTACGGCGTGACTAGGGTGGACGCCATTGCTGCTGATGTTGCTGCGCGCTGGGCCAGCAAATAGGTATGTGGTAAACGTTATCGTCGTGGAGGAAGGATCGGGTCAGCGGTGAGGAAAGGGAAAGAAGGGAGGCAACACAACAGCTCTCGGGGGTGAGCTATAGGTCGTGTTGGCTTGGATCAGCCGCGGCGAGCAGTCTTGCGACTTTACCTATCCGAGCATGTCAGCCGCTGTTAATATTGTTGTCGTTGAAGTGAGGAGTCTGCATGATTACGTCAACCTATAAAGTGAAGGTCGGTGTCTTCTCCGTTTTCATGACTTAGTCAACGCAATTTTTTTGGCTTGCGTCGCGATTCGACGCCGGAGAAGGGGTTGTCGCTCTTGAAAACCATTGTTGACATGCTGCGATTGGTGGCAGAAGAGGCCGGCGAGGACACCAGCCCTTGCCGTACAATAATACCTCTATTGCCTACCTGCAGCCCAATTTTCCGGGGGGGAATTCCATCACCACTTATGTACCTAGGACTCCGCTCCATGTCCCTCAAGATATCAAGAGTGAAGATAGGAAGCTCTAGAAAGCGTGATGAATGAGGGCAACATCACTTTGACAAACCCGAGTGTCGTCATACTCATTCACAACACCACCCCCAAAAGGGATCTCGACAAAGAGGTACACTGTTATGGTGCAGGCGGCCTTAAACCGACCCGTCGGCGGTGGTGGAGACGGCAACGACTGTTTATAATAAACTGATCACCACGTGAGAACTCTGGGGAAACCTCCCTCCCGTCCCCTAAATAAGATGCGCTCTGCAAGACTGAGGCGCTGGCTTCCACCAGTCGCGCAATCTTGTGATGTTATTGAAGTCGGGGATATTTTGAGCGACAGGTTGGTTTAAGGCCACCTGCACCATACTACGAGAGCCTGTGCCTTCCTGTGGCTTTCCCTCAAGCGAATAATCGGGGCGAAGGGCTTGTTCGCTGTCGTATGCATGAATATCACCTCACCAAGGAAACTCCAAGTCTGAGTGGTTGGCTGGTGTAGTGGTTATCACACTCGTCTCACATACTCCTGTGTGTGTGCACGAGAGGTCCCAGGTTCGATCCCTGGGCTAATCATTCTTTTACCAACCCCGCAAGGGCAATCAACAGACCACGGCCCACTGCCGCCAAAACGAGAAAGGCCCACGCTTCTATCAACTCCAAGGCCGCGTAAGAGCTCAACATCAACCCTCATGTCACCCTCATCATCATCGGATACGCCTCCAAGCCCTCCTCTCTGTCTCGCTTGGCCATGCTCGGGCGCTGCTCAAGAAGGCCAACACCGCCTCCGTACAGCGTTCATCCTGCCATCAGATCTGCAACCGATGTATTCCTTCAAAACCTCTTTTTGTCCGTCGCGCTTTCCACATCTCAACCCGCTCGTTTCTCCAGCTCGGGCAATGCTTGAACAGGTGCTCTGTAGACTGCACGGCGCCATCCGTGCAGAACCAGCATTGGTCGTTGTCTCACCGCCTCGTCTTCGCAAGGTAGGATTTCTTTGATGCTTTATTTCCCTTTGTCCTCTTACCTATCTTTTCCTTCCTTGGGAGGGGTGAATCAAAAAAATGGCGTACACTGGTAGTCTTCGGTGTCCAGTTGTTTGAGCATCGTAGAACGTCACTCGCACATTCTTGAGTCAAGACATTTTCTCCAGCTCAAGTGTCTCATGTAAACTTAAGTATCTACTACCTCCCCATAGCCACAACAATACGCACTGCCGCTTCAATTTGCCTAATCCATGCATATGGCTGAGTATGCTGCTGCCGTGCTGTTATTCGCTCTTCCACGACATCCATCAGAACATCAAATTGCAAAGAAACCCATAAACCCCGTATCCACTTTTATGATTGTTTTGTGTTGTGTAATTTTCAGAGCCATTGCATAAACGCAGTACAAGCCCCGACATGATTCGATCCCGTTGTCTGGAATTAAGACGCTTTTAAATACAGTTGGAAAAAAGCACTGCGTCTATCACAGATCCTACACTACAACCACCCCCGCAACACAAAGGAACCCACTACCTACATTTTACAAGAACGATTTTACGAAAGTGATGGTGGCGTCCTTGAGACTGCTCTCCAATGCAGGGGTGAGCGCACCCTCCTTGATGATGGAGCTCAGGAGGTCGGCGTGGTTGGTCTTGAGGTAGGCCAGGAAGTCAACCTCGAACTGGCCAATCTTGTTGACGGGGATGCTGTCCAAGTGTCCATTGACACCAGCGTAGATGAGAGGAACCTGCTCCTCAACACCCATGGGCTGGTACTGCTTCTGCCTGTAATGGTTGTTATTATCAAATTTGGCGGTGTGAATGCGGGCCGGATGGCACTTACTTGAGCAGCTCAGTCAGACGCTCACCACGGGCAAGGGTGGACTTGGTGGAAGCGTCCAAGTCGGAACCGAACTGGGCGAAGGCAGCGACCTCACGGTACTGGGCCAAGAAAAGCTTGAGCGAACCAGCAACCTGCTTCATCGCCTTGACCTGGGCGGCGGAACCGACACGAGAGACGGAAAGACCGACGTTAATCGCAGGTCGGATACCCTTGTAGAACAACTCGGCCTCCAAGAAGATCTGGCCATCGGTGATGGAAATGACGTTGGTGGGAATGTAGGCAGACACGTCACCACCCTGAGTCTCAATAACGGGAAGGGCAGTCAAAGATCCGCTTCCGTGAGCCTTGCCCATCTTTGCGGCACGTTCGAGAAGACGAGAGTGCAGGTAGAAGACGCTGCATTGCACATTAGCATCCGAAGGTAGGACGACAGTGACGAGATCTAAACTTACTCTCCGGGGTAAGCCTCACGTCCGGGGGGACGACGAAGCAGAAGAGACATCTGACGGTAGGCGACGGCCTGCTTGGACAGATCGTCGTAGATGATGAGGGCGTGCTTGCCGTTGTCACGGAACCACTCACCAATGGCACATCCAGTGAAGGGGGCCAAGAACTGAAGAGGGGCAGCCTCAGAGGCGGTGGCAGCAACGACGATGGAATACTTCATGGCGTCGTTCTCCTCAAGGGTCTGGACGAACTGAGCGACAGTGGAACGCTTCTGACCAACAGCAACGTACACACAGTACAGCTTCTTGGTCTCATCGCTGCCGCTGTTCCATCGCTTCTGGTTCAGGATGGTGTCAAGAGCGACGGCAGTCTTACCGGTCTGACGATCGCCGATAATCAACTCACGCTGGCCACGTCCGATAGGAACCATGGCGTCGACGGACTTGAGACCGGTCTGGACGGGCTCACGGACGGAGGCACGGGGCAGAATGCCAGGGGCCTTGACCTCAGTGCGGCGTCTCTCGGAAGCATTGATGGGTCCCTTTCCATCGATGGGGTTACCCAAAGCATCGACGACACGTCCGAGAAGGGCAGGGCCGACGGGGACGTTGACCTGGATCGTGTTAGTCACGATTTTGTGCTAGTGCGGGGCATGCTGCGAATACTTACGATCTCACCGGTACGCTTGACAGATTCTCCCTCCTTGACCAGACGGTCGGAACCGAACAACACGACACCGACCTGACCGGCCTCCAAGTTTAGGCACATACCCTTGACACCGGAAGCGAACTCGACCAGCTCCTCAGCCTGGACGTTGGTAAGACCATGAACACGGGCGATACCGTCTCTGTGACACTGGGGTCAGTGGACTTTCTCTACCGGAGTACAGTTTATCCGAGATATCCTTACCCAACGGACAACACACGTCCAGTCTCGGCCATAGCGGCCTCCTCCTGAACACCCCGGATTCTGGCCTCGAGGATAGAAGAGACCTCAGTCGGGGAGGCCTTGGCCTCACCGGCGTAGTTGCGGACATGGGAGATGACCGCGGGGGCAGCAGTTCGTGCCTGTAACCGATTACCGACGTCAGCACCCACTGAAAACCGAAAAACCCCGCCTCAACCAAAACTTCAATTGTCGCAATTCCGATCGGGTCCATCCAGCCTTCCCATCAGAAATGCGTGAGATAGTTGTCGTGATGTTGATTGATGATAGTGACATGGATGAAAGCGGAAGGCTGATGACGGAATTGGTGAAAATTTTGGACCTCGGTGAAATTTGAAGTGGTGGAGGAGTTGTTGGGAAGGACGACGTACCGTAGCGATTCTGCCAGACAGGGCCCCGACGGTGCGGGTGGTTTGACGGAGGGCCGTTCTGAACATTATGTATCTATGCGAGGGTGCAGTGGGAGAGGAGAGCGGAGAGGAGAGGATTGGGAGCCCTCGTATGGGTGTGGGTGGTAGTAGTGGGGATAGAAAGAGATTGGGGGAAGCGATGTGTGATGGGCGCGGAATTTTGCAAGGGAGCCGCCAGACCGAGCCGACAGAGCAACAAGTGAGGGTGGGTTGAGCCAATCAGCGTGCGTTATCCTCCGATTTGATCCGGACAATGCGATTGTTTGGCGGCGGGTAACGATCGACGTTCAGCAGAGCGGACAGAGCAGACAAGAGGCGGGGCGGCTGTGCAAATTCTAAGAGCGCGGCAATTTCTGCAATTGCTCTATCTTGTGCGTCTGTTGATCGTGCTTGTTACATTTTGCTCTCGTCGGTGTCACTCTGCTGGATGAGGCTCTGCACATCCATCTACTAGATCTAGGTATCCATCTGCTGCTGTTTCAAACGTCTCCATCATTGCGGAAAAACATATGATCCGAGTTATTCGATACGATGACCGAACTACCGCTTACCTGTCGCTTCGCTGCGTTATGCATGTTATTTAAGAGAGGAGTTCCAAGCTCCCCGAGTGAGAGCTAGTGTTTCAACGCTCTAGTTAACTACTCTACAGTGGTAACAAGAAGCTTAAGTTTGTAGAATATGAGTGCTTAGGGTACTGTTCTTCGAGGCAGCTCTTATAACTCGTGGTAGCAGCGAAGCAAAGCACACCAATGTTTGGGAACTTGTTTGGGTGGGTCGGTACAAAGCATCGGTATCTTGTGCCGCCTCGTCTATGGCGGATCTTACTCGAAACGAGCATTGGCATCCAGCAGAGCCGCATGCTTTAAATCTCAAAGCACGAGGTTATGGTTTTCGCTTTCTCGTTCGAAGAAGAAAAAATTGCAAGTGCACCTTGCATAGGCCCATGCTCCGTGTCCAGCGATTCGACGGGCTCGAGGACTCGGCATATCGGTGCATTGACGCTTTCATTCAAAGTTTTGTTCAATGAAAAAACTCCCATCGCGCCTCGTTGCTGTCCCACCTCGCCAACCTCCAGCCAACCCGCCTCGACCACCACCTTAACGCTCCCACCAACCAACCCTGAGGATACCACCTCAGAGAGCGACACCAGAACCTGGCGAATCGTCTTCGTCTGACCGACATCCTACGGTAAAAGCTTGTTTCTCCACGCGGTTTAGGAGTCTCGCGACGTCGCTGTGAACCACAGCACCCAGGTAGTCGGCCACCGGGGAAACAACCAGTGAGTGCGACGCATTACCGGCGACTCAATCCCTCTCACGAGTCGGATCGCATCGCATCCCCCTCGGGAGAGCTAGTGTGCACAACCACCTGCCGTTCTTCAAGTCAACAGTGGGCAAAATGTTCTTCATCCGCGAGTTAGAGAAGACGATCACGCTGCACCCGTCGTACTTCGGGCCGCACATGAGGGACTACCTGATCCACAAGCTACACGACGACGTGGAGGGCTCTTGCACGGGACAGTTTTTTATCATCTGCGTGATCGATCACGAACAGATCTCGCCTGGCAAAATAATACCTGGCCGGGGTGACGCCGAGTTTACCATCCATTACAAGGCGATTGTATACCGCCCGTTCCGGGGTGAGACTGTAGATGCGGTTGTCACCAGCGTCAACAAGATGGGTTTCTTCGCCGAGGTCGGCGCCCTGCAGTGCTTCGTCTCAAAGCAGGCGATTCCCTCTGAGATCCCGTTCGATGAGACTGCGAACCCGCCCCAGTACTCTGATGGCGGGGAGCAGGTCATCAATAAAGGCGCCCACGTGCGGATGAAGCTGGTTGGTATCAGAAGCGATGTTGGGAAGATGTACGCAACTGCCAGTATCAAAGAGGTCAGTATCCCCGGCCGGCAGGTTTGGTGGTTGTACCTTGCTAACAAAGGGTCTGCAG